GTTAATAAACACCTGGTCTCATTTGTCGCTCTGTCCTTCGCTCCCTCCTTTTCTATGCCACTCTTCTCTGTTGTTGTTCACCCTTCTTCTTCAGTAGTTAGCTGTGGGAACCACGCACAAGGCAGATAGTCCCATCATGCTCTTTCCTTCTCAATGGCATTGTGGAACTTTTATTGAGTGGTGAGAGTGAGGGTATTGAAACTTGGAGGAAAAATGCCATCCTAGGTTCTCTCTGTGCAACCAATATGCAAATCATTTAATAGTAATGCAGTCGTGGGTTCCCTGAATAAAGACTCTCCATTTTCATCACTGCTGGTAAGTGCCAAGAGGGACATATGAGAATAAGTTACAGCCACGTTGTGACATGTAATAAATCTTCCAAAAGGGATTTACATGCATTCAGCTCCTTGGCCTTTATCCTGTGTAAGGCACTTCTGTTTGCTTTGCATCTAAGCAACAGAAAGTAATCAGCCTCCAAGAAGTTAATTATTGGTTGTGTGGATAACCCTTAGGGTGTGTGTGTGTGTCCAGTCTCTTGGGCCTAGTCCCATTTCTCATCACATAAGGCAATATGCATCCATGGTGTCTGCATCTCTGGAAAGCATGGTGGTTCATTTCTCCTTCAAGAGAAGACAAAGGGCCTCTGAAATACAAGCATACAGCCCCAGTTTGAGAAAGTGAACCATTTTTAGTTCCTCTGACTGAAACAAAAGGGGAGTCCTAGAGCTAGGAATCACTCAGTAACGGAGCCCTGATAACAGTCAGCAGAAGAGACGCACATGCCTATGTGTTCCAGAAAGAGGAAAAAGGAAATACTGTAACAGGCTTGCAAAATCCAACTCGGAATCACACTAGTCTATTAATGAGACAAGTTTAAACAGTCAGCCTATCACCTCTTAACCAAACCGTTAACACAATTTAACACACATTCAAAGGGGCACCCCATGATGTGCTAATGAAAACAGGTTCTTCCCAGCGTGAGACACTAGTTTTTTCTCTTTTTGTTGAGTTCTCTTTGATCATGCACTCAAAATACCCAAATACCTTGTCAATCTAGGAGGTTATAAGGATATGTTTCAAATATAAACAAGGGGAAACTGAGGCTTACAGGGCTCAAAGGTAGTATATTTATTAGAATTTGGATTGCTTTTCTGACAGCTTTTCTCTGTGGCCATTTAAGTGCTGAAAAAAAGTATTTAAATGCTTTAATTATTTTTATCTTTTAAAATTGCAAGTGACTTAGAGAATTACAATTGTGAAATGTTCTGTAATTGAAATGCATGAGGTGCTACACTTTGGTTTTCAAAATTTTATTGATAGAACTGGACTCTGAAACAATCTTTAAAAAAACCTAGGTAGTAATGGATATACTTTAGAAATTCATACTTTGAGGCAATCAAACAATTTAATGGGGTTATTTTCATTATGGTTTCTAGATTAAAGCTCTTCAAAGCTCTGAAGAGGCATTTTCCACCTAGACAGAAGCTGTTCTCTTGGGCTACAGCAGTGGCATATTCAAGGCCTACATGTTTACTGTATCCACGCAGGACTGCTGCATACAAGAAGAATGGACTTTATATATTATCCATTTTAAAATAGAAAAGCATTTGGAAAAGTAACCTGAAATAGCCAAAATCTTAAAACAAAGTGAGCAGAGGCTCAGTGCATTTGGCATTCTTGAGAGTTTCTGGGAAGGTTTTACAAAAAAAAAAGCCCTGCCATTTTTTCTATGTGTCAACAGACAAATGACTTTGGAAGAAAAAGAAGGAAAAACAAAGAGGCTTGGAAAAAGCCAAAGGGTCAATTTAATTGGACCGTATAATATGCAGATCACCACCTATATATTTTTTATAACCGTCTAGATTTGGGTAGAAAAGGTTTTAAACTTTCTTCCTGGTCTTATAAACCTTTGTGATTACCTGACAATGATTCATGTAATATTATTGTATATCTGACTCTGGCAGTTACCCATTACACCATGTTAACATATTTCAATAAGTAATCAATTTGGTTTCCAGTAGGCTGATTTAATTCAGGTTTCATTACTTGCCTAGTATTTATTTTTTAGGCATGTTGTCCATCTTAGTCGAGGACTGCCCTTTCTGCATTAGCCATTTTAGGATAAAATACTTAATAAGATTTGCATTTAATAAATGAACTAGAGGATCTGGACCCCCTCCAGCCAGAGCAAGTAATTATGTCATTTGTATTGCAAAGCAGGAGTGGCTATAAAGCAATGGTATACTTTTTTAAAGATTGATCACCCTGAGCAGTATTATATCACCCATAAAATGGCAGGCCGACCAAGGAGCTAAACGTGGACAGTGTACAGAATCTTGAGAACTATGGAGAGCTGCAAAGTTTTCACTCTGCCCTTTGAAGAAATGTCTAATTAGGAGGACTGGTTTACAATGTATCTCTAGTTCCCATCACAACTTTGTGATATAAAATGGTCTTTCCCTGAGACAACTCCATGTTTATGTTGAAAGCGAGACTGCCACCTCATACCTTCATCTACTAGCGAATGCTCCCAAATTTGCAACCACATACAGAGAAGCCCAAGTCAGACTGTGTCTGTAAGAAGTGAGAGATTAAGAGCAGGGGAAGCGCCCCGTGAGTAAAGTATTTTCACTGAGTTCTGGTCCTAGCACCCACATTAAAAAACAAGAAGGGCACAGAGATTGGTGACTATCGTCACAGGCTGGGAGGCAGAGGCAGAGGGATCCAGGGAGCTTGCTGACCAGCCTGCCTAGAAGAGAAGTGAGTTCCAGGTTCAGTAAGAGACCTTGTTTCAAAAGAAAGTGGAGAATAATAAGAGAATCTAACTGGAGTTGACTTCTGGCTTCTATGTGCACATGCGCAGGTGCATGTGTCCCCCACAACCCATGCCATACACACACAGTGACCCAGCCGACCTCTTAGAAAGTACCTTTTGTTTGGAACCCAAATCTTCCATTGCTGATAGCAACGCAGAGCTGCCAATACTGCTCATAATACCACTAACAAGAACACAGAGACTTAACACTCGACACTATACCTTGAATACTGTGTTAGGCACTTATTTCACTGATCCCCATAGAACTATTGAGATGGATTGTCTGTATCTGTTCCAATTAAATGCTAGAACCGATGATCTTAATAGCTTTGTTAAATTTACATAAAGTAGCCAATATTTAAAGATATTCCTAGGAGATCTCAACAAATGTATTAATAAATGCCTGCACTCCAATGAACATTAAAGCTTTATAGCCCTTTTACTTTTATAATGCATCAATGTATGATATCTTTGCATGTTCATGTGGGTGACTATGAGTGAAGTGGGTACATGTTTTCATGTATGTAGAGATCTGAGGACAAACTTGGGTGTCATTTCTCATCTTTCACTTTGTTTGAAGAAGGACCTCTTGTCCATCACTGCATAGGCCAGAGCATTTGCTCTGCTATTTCCTGGGTATTGACCTGTCTCTACCTCCCATCTCTGAGGAGGCATGCTAAAGTCATGATTTTAAATGAACTCTGGGGATCCAAAATCTCAGTCTCTCTCTGTGTGTCTCTGTTTCTCTTTGTCTCTCTCCCCCTCTTTCCTTGAGAAAGTATCTCAGATATCCCAGGTTGTCTTTGAATTTGCTCACTAGCCGTTTGTTCCCAGACTCCCAATCCACTTACCTCCACAGCCCAAGTACTAGGATTATAGTCACTCATCCCCATGCCCAATAACGTATGTCTTAAATCTGATGAACGTGTTCTGAACCTTACCTTCACAGAACCCTACTCATTAAAGGAGACACACACACAAATGCAGAGCAAATGGGAAAAACTGTCTCATAAGAAAATCAAAATTCCACAGAGGCATCTAGCTTCTGAAAGCCAGAATGCTGACAGGGAAAATATCTTCTACCTCTTCCATGTGCTCAGGAAACCCACTTAAGAAGTTGTTAAAAACCTAAAGAGGCAATTTAGAGGTAACAGTGCTCTCCTAGGCTTCAACGGGAAGGGGATATGTTTAGGCACCTTTCTGATATGAAAATCTGTTAAATTTAGGAGCTTGTGGAGGTTTGAATATGAAATGTCTCCTATAGGCTCGTGTATTTGAACACTTGGGCCCCGGCTGATGACACTGTTTGGGGAGGATGTAGGGGTTACCCCTCTGGTGGAGAAAGTATGTCACCAGGGGCAGTCTTTTAGTTTCTCACTTTCTGTTCACTCCTTCTGTTTCAGGTGTTGTAGAATGTGCAGATCTCTCAGCTTCCTGCTGCTGTACCTCCCTTTTGCTTCCATGCCTCCCCACCATGATAGAGTCTTATCCATCTAGGACCATAAGCCAAAATAAGCTCTTCAATAACTTCCCTCAGTTATGGTGTTTCATCACAGCAAAAGATAAGGAAGTGACTCGCAGAAAGTTCTTCCTTAAAATGTACTTTTGTTACTTTGAGATTTTAATATCTAGCAATTTAATTCAATGATTCATTGTTCTGCACATCAACAGTCTGCTAAAAACAATGTCATCACATTGAATATTTTAGTAGTTATACTGGTTAGTTTTTGTCAGTTTGACAAAAGTCAGGGTCATCTGGAAAGAGAAATGAGCAAATGCCTTTATCAAATTGTCCTGAAAAAAGTGTGTGGGGGAATTTTCTTGATTAATGATGGATATGGGAGTGTACAGGCTACTGTGGGTAATGCCATCCCTGGGCAGGTGGTTCTTGGGTGGTATAAGAAATCAGACTGAACAAGCCATGAGGAGAAAGCCAGTTAGTAGCATGACATTCTTCCATGGCTCCTGCTTCAGTTCCTGCTACCAGGTTCTGCTTTGAGTTCCCACCCTGATTTCCTTTCCTAAGGGACTATAAACTCAAAGCTGAAATAAACTCTTTCCTCCCCAAGTTGATTTTGTTTATGGCATTTATCCCAGTAACAGAAAGTAAAATAGGACAGTAGTATCTTTATAATATTATTATTTTTATTATTTATTTAAATACATATACTTGTAATGAAAGCATTTTTACATAATCATATACATATATGGGGCATATATATGATTTATGCTTCAAATATCTGGAGGCTGGAAGTCTGCAGATGTTGGCTGGGGTGGTTTCTACTGAGGACCAATTGTTAGGAAAGATCTGCCCTTCCCTCGTTCTGGTAGTTGGTCTATATTCTGTAGTGAGTAACTGTTCCAGCTTTGACCTGGAAGTACTACCCTCAATGAGGCTTCCCATAACTGTCACACCTACCTATGACCGGCCCTTGAGGCAGGGCCAAGACAGGCGCCCTTAAGACCTGAGATCTGGATGTGCCAGTGCTCTTGGTTCCTGGTGATCCTGGATGCTGGATGGTAGACTGAGCGGAGTTCTCCAGAGAACCCAGCTGGACTGCACCTCACCTCTCCCGGATCCTGTAACCAACCCCTTTACTAGCTGTAAGTTATCCCCCAGAATAAACCTCCTTTTTAACTATGTGGAGTTGCCTTAATAATTCCCCCAATAATACTCTCTGGTGTTCCTCATCTCTCCCTTCTTCACATGCATTTTCCTTGTATGTGTGTGCCTCCAAATTTCCCCACATAAGGAAATGGTGACATGCCTGAATATTTTATCTACAATAACCAAGATCACATACAGATGTGTTATGAGTTAGGATTCAACATGTGAGATTTAGGGGTCACAATCCAATATCTAGTGTGACTTTCAAAGAAGAGGTATGTTCAATGATAGAAAAAGTTCGGGCTAAAAGGACCCTTGGGGACCTATGTGTTTCCCGATGGGATGACATCATGTGATGATTCATCTTGATAGTCAATTCAATGAGTGACATAAGAGACACACTTCTGAGCAGGTCTCTGAAGGCATTCCAGGAAGGCTTACCTGGGAAGAAGGCCTTCTCCTAGAGTGGGCAACAACTTCTGACAACTTCAGATATACAGAGGTCAGAGGAAAAGCAGTGCTGGCCCCTTTTCTGTCTCGGCTTCTTGCTGGCAAGTACCTCTATCCTGTTTCTGTGGCTTCACTGACACTGGAAGCTCCTTCAGCCTCAATGTGGACTCAAGACCAGCAGCTCTCCAGGAATCTTCTAGGCCTTCAGTGCCAGAAGGCGATTGCTGAGACATGCACCTCCGGGTTCTTAAACTGAGCAGCTAAGATTTCTCAGCCTGTTTGGCACACACACAGTCATTGTTGAGATGCTCAGCCTTTATTGCACCACACAAAATAGCATATCTCCTTTGTAGTCCACATTCATTCTATCAGCGCTGCTCCTCCAGAGAACCCTGACTAAAACCCACTAGCCTAGAGCAATTTCACGACTTGCCCACTGATCACAATGCTAATGGCACAGGTGGAAGCAGCATTCAGACTGTTAAATCTGACTACAATGTGCTTCCCACCTCCTATTTTGCAACTTACTAACAACAGTGTGTTGGTAGAAATAATTTTAAATATAAACTAATTTGGGTGGTGTATCAAGCTTCTCCACTGGTCACCAGCTGACAAATAATGACATAGAAGCTTATTATTAGTTATGAAAGCTCAGCCTATAGCTTAGGCTTGTTCCTAACTAGCTCTTATAACTTAACCCATTTATACTAATCTATGCTCTACCACCTGGCTTGTGGCTGTTACTTCTCCTCCTGCACATCCTGCTTATTCTGTGCCTCCTGGTATCTCTGCTTTCTTCTTCTTCCCAGACTCCTCTCTGTTCCTGGAAGTTCCACCTAACCTCTTCCTATCTAGCTATTGGAAATTCAGCTCTTTATTAAACCAATCAGAAGCTTCTTTGGCAAAAATTCCATCTTCACAGTGTAAACAAATATTCTGCAACATTTCCACACATTTTGTCTAAATAAACAAGAAAGAATTTAACTCTAATAGAGTAAAACTATATATAATAAGAACAATTATCAGGTAAGAATTATATTTATAATGTCCAGTCCATTTGTATTTGGAAATTTTGGAGAAATATTCCATTATCCTTCCTATCCTGATGAATCTAAAGTTTTATACCTAAACCACTTTTTATCATAACTTGTATTACAATCCTAAAAATATCTTTTTAGATCTTAAAACATCTTTTTAGATAAACAACTTAAGCTTTTATATTTCTCAACCTTATAAAATTTACATCTCTTATGTAAGTTTCTTTTCTGAATTCGGTAACAAGGAAAACTGTAACTATAACTATTTAGTCTTCAACCCCATCAAAGACTCGAGAAAGATACAATATTACCTGAGTAAACAAGAAGTGCAGAGCAAAGAACTTCCAAAACCAAGAAATGACAGAGACAGTCGGCTGCCTGGACAGTTACCTCAAGGCTCCTCTGCAACGTTGGGCATCAGTCTTCTACCTAGTGTCCTAGAATATCTGACAGACTTTTCTGTGAAACAGGAGTTTTTAAGGATTGTCCTACCTCATCTTGGCAATGTTTGGCATTTGTCTTTTTGTGTGTCCTGATTATCCAGTTTAGACAGCATTCTGTCAGCAGTCAAGACAAGGACAGTTTCTTGCCCTGTGGCTAACTTTACCACAATGAAAGCAAACTCCATATGGAGGTTCTTTGATGCTCATCAGCCTTTTTTGAAGTAGATTGGTGCTGCCAGGAGCAGGTGTGTCCCACTGTCATGAAAAGTCTTGTGTTATTAAAACATATTAAATGCCATATTCTGTAGATCTCAAGTGTTTAAAGATCATCTACTAACCTGTATTTCTTAATTATCTTAGTTTATAATAATAACTTTCAAGGACTAGAAATTTACATTACATTGTTAAATGAGCTGCATAGGCACAATACTTTAAACAAGAGTAGAAGCATATATACAGTATAACAAAATAACTTTAAATTTGCATCAATATACAAAAATATCTGAAAAGAAGAGTATAAACATATGCATGGTATAACAAAAATAACCTTAAGTTTGTATCAATATACAAAAGTCCATATCAATGTAAAATATTTGAGACTAGTTGTTGCTTTTTTAGTTTGAAAGTAGATTCAATAATCTACCATTTTATCCTATCATTCTTATATTCCCCTTTTCTTTTTCTTTTTTTTTAGAAACAGATTCCTTAATTTAACCTACTTTGTTTAGTTTTTCCCTGACCATGACTAGTAACAACTTGCAACTAACCACCCTAAATGACGACAGACATCTATAATCCCTGAATGACCAAAAGTCCCTCATCCCATATTTTGGGAATGTGGATGTTGTGTTCTCTAGACTACTTCCTATTGTCTTGGAGCAACAGCATCTTTAGGGGACCCTGAGAAAATTGGGATAATGTATTACTTTTTTTTTGTTTAGTCTCTGTGTCATGGGAAAGCATAGCGCTTATCTGAAGTTCTGCCTGGAGTAGTCTGTGAGGCTGGACTATCTCAGCTAACAGCTTTGAAGTTGTTCTGAATATAGAATTTTGAGGAAACTGCAACAGAGGCATTTTGAGAGGTTGGATCACCTGGTTTTCTTGTTTTCATTGGTGTCTGATCCTTTTACTTTGAAAACACTCAACTTTTAAAGGTAACACATATATCTGCATTAACAGATGTAAGGAGTGTACAAGTGTACACAAGTCAGCTAAAGATGATTTTTTTGTTTTATGTTTGAACAGGTAAAAGGCAGTTGTCAATTTTATAAGTCTTTTTGGACTGCATAATCAAATGTTAATATAAATCTCTATCAGTCCACATGAAAGGGTGGCATGTAATAAGTCACAAGGACTCTAGCCAACAAGATTTATCATGTCTCATTCAGTCTCAGAGCTGTTCCTATGCAGAAGTATCAGCTTGCATATCACCTGTCTTGTAGTCTTTTTTGTCTTCCTCCCTCATGTCTATAGCCAAGATCTTCAGGAGGTCTCCCACTGGTCAAATCTGATCTCTATTAGCTTTAAAGGTATCCATAGCTTTTTGTTTCCTGTGGAAGAAAAGACATAACCTCTCCCCCAACAAAACATATTTCTCAACTTTCATTCTGGAGCCAAGACATCTCTAAAGTATATAGGCTGGTTTAATTCAGTAGTCCCTTCCATAATCCAATGTCTCTCAGTAGCTGCTGTTTGCTCATCAGCATTCAAAAAATTCAAAGTCAACAAAACACCATACAGGATTGAGTTGCCCTGTATATTTTCCATCCTTATGTGGCTTATTTTTTATATTGCTTTACTCTTTCTTTAAAGACTTTATAATATTTAAATTATTTATTTTTGTGACTGTCTATACCCATTTTGTTTCTTTAGCATCTAAGCATATTTTTAAGCATGCTGTATCTATTTTTAAGCATGCTGTATCTATTTAGAGGGTTTCTTGGTCTGTACCAGACTTTCTGCATGTCTTTAGTCTTCTCTGACTGTGGGAACCAAGACTTAACCTGTTAGGTCCTCCAGCATGCAGCTAGCTTATGGTACTGGTGTCTGGCTTCACTCCCTTTGGGTCCACCTAACAGTCCTAGCTCTAGGAAGCTCCTGTGTCTATGCTGTAGCAGCCTTTTTTTTTTATCTAGCTTCCCCACAAGTGCTCTGTTGCATAGCTGAGCCTCTTAAAAGAGCCACACCTCTGTATGCTGCAAGCAGTGGGCTCTGTGTATGTGCCCACATTGAACGCCATTTGTATCAAGCTTTTTCATCAGCCACCAGTTCACAAATAATGACATGGAAGCTTATTATTAGTTACAGAAGCTCGGCCTAGAGCTTAGGCCTTTTCCTAACTACCTCTTATAATTTAAATTAACCCATTTATATTAATCTACATTCTGCCATGCGGCTTGTGGCCATTACTTCTCCTTCTGCACATCCTGCTTGTTCTGCATCTCCTGGTGTCTCTGCCTTTTTTCTTCTCAGAGACCTCTCTGTCCCTGGAAGTTCAATCTAACTTCTCCTGTCTAGCTATTGGCCAGTCAGCTCTTTATTAAACCAATTAAAAGGCACCCTGGGAAAAGGCACATCTTCACAGTATAAATGAATATTCCACAACAGGGTGGTCAAGTTAAATTAACAAGATTTTAATGTTGGGACTGTACATTGTTATAGACAAAATTCTGTAAACTTTGCAAGGATATATGCCAAATTATTAAACAGCAATGATTAGGTCTCTCTTATCTAACTCACCTATTTTAATTTTGACTAGAAAGACTAACTTACAAAACTAAAGAGGAGGAGGTTAAGGATAAATCATCATAGACATGCTTTTCCCTGTTAGCAGTAAAGCTCTCTGGGTAAAGATGCATTAGGGAAAGCCTAGGGCATCAAAACTGAGCCACCGGGAAACTTGCAGTTAGTGCAACTCATAGTCAGTAACTCTGAACAGCCAGGTAGCAAAGCACTTGGGAAGTGTGAGAGTCAAGAAAAGGGAATCAGACAACTACCAATAGAAGGAACATGAAGGAAGGTGACTCTGAACAAAACCGCACACTGGGAGCAAACCTTCTAAGTTCCTATCATCAGGACCTGTTCTGCAATAAACGACTACAACATGTGACCTCCACAAGCACTGCACACATGTGCACAGGCATGCATGCAGATGAAAGATGCATACACATAAAATAAAGTGAAAAATAATTTAAAATATTAACGGTAAAGTAGATAAACAGAGTATACATGAATTGATTTGATGCTTGTATTTGTATATGTAGATCCATTGATTATTGAAAGACAAGCTATGTTCATCAAAGTTGTTGAATACTAAAAAATACAACTGATATAGACTATGTACCTAGATATACAGACACTTAAACATATGGACTCTTTTGTACATTTTATTTCAGATATAGGGATACATTTAGAATTAACTATTTCTACTCTAATTTCATGCCAGACTCTATAATGCCCTTGTAGTTTTAAAATGAAAACTCATTAACCTCTTAAAATCAGCCCTAAAAATATTTATTTTCACTAATTTTTCTCAACAGGAGAAATCTGGTATTTATGTTTTGTAAAGGAATGTAATCATATCACATATTTTCTGGGGCCTAGGAAAGCTATGCTATAACCACACACCATTACTCATGATGTCTGTCATGAGATTCCTGAAGATGAAGAAAAGATACAATACACCCTCCATTATCCTATATTTTAAAAGGTTAATGCATGTCTTATATCTTATACCTAACCAAAGACAGCTATATTATTGGATCCAAATTTTTGAAAATCTTCACAAGAACAGATTCTATACCCTTCAACAATGTCTCAAATCCAAGGCTGCATTTGGTTAGTATGTACTATATGCAGAATGTGAACCGTACTCATGCATGTTAATTATTATACATAATATTAACATAATTATGCATGTTAAATTAAAACTGTGGGGGATATGTGAAGATAAACTTACCTGATAAACATCAGCCTTCACTTCTATGTTGAATAGTTTTCAGTCACTATCATTTTGCCAGAGGTAGAGCAAACAGGATTAACCTAATTCAGGGTGTTGGAAATATTCTTAATTAACACACACTTACAATACACTTCACATATATGTGTACATCTGTCACCTCTCCTCCAAACTTCTCAATTTATGTTCTCTAACTCCTAGATAGCATTATCAGCCTTCTCCATTTTTCCCCAAATGAGAAGTTTACCTATCCCAAGTTCTCTCCCTGTTCTCAAACAATGAGCTCTAAGATTCTGTCCCTTCAGATTCTGAGTCCTGATAGCTCTCATTTCCCTCCCTGTTGCCCCTGAATTCCAGTGCCCACCTGCTGGTCTGGAAGGAAGCAGCTGCAAGACAACAGAGACAGACCCTGCAGCACTCCTCAGGGTGGTCTTCTATGCTCACTCTGGCCCTCCTTCCTGTACCCACACTTTCAACTTGACCTCTCCCTCCTATATGAACACCTTGTAGTTCATTTGTCCTCTGAGGTATCTGGCCCATCCTTTGTGTGGTATTCCTGTGGAGAGACTCACAGCTTCTGCCCTGATCTTTCCAGATCTGGGCATTAATAAAAGATGTCACATCAGGTTTATGAGCCATATTGACTACTAATGTCTTATAGTGCCTATTTTTTTAAGATATTTGGAAATACTCTGAGTAATTTTAACTGCTTTTGAAAGATATATACACATATCATGTGGGTTTACACTACTCATGTTGTATGCATATATGCATATATATATATATATATATATATATATATATATACTCACATTTTGTTATGTAAAAACTTGAAACTGTGCTTCAAACCTTAGCAGTTATCCAAAGATGGCCATCTCATTAGGCTGGGGGAAAAATGAACTAAACACCCTAGTTTATAATTTGTCCAAGTGGTTGTAGTGGGAATGATGAATGGTAAAGATGAGATTATTCCTCAGCTCTCACTTGTGACAGTTGACTTCCATGATATTTGTCTTACATTTCCTCTTTGGCTGTGTGTGAGTGTAATACACTTAGGTAGTAGCATCAGTCCATCTATTATTATATTGGCAGCAGGAGATTTCCATTGATTTGTTTCTCTCTACTTGCTTTTTCTTTCTCTAACCCTTCATGCCATAATGCAGAAGATTTATTTTCAATGATTTATTAAAATGTAATTCTAAGGTGACTCCATATCAAGGAAGTCATCTGCAGGCTATCTTTGTTTAAACTTGCAACCTGCTTTGTCAAGGAAAACTGCCTATGAAATTTTCATTATAATAGACAGCTTTTCATAATGAATGAAAAACAGCTATTATGATTGAAAACAAATTGCTCTGAAACATACTCTTTGAAACAATGTGCTGCTTAATTGTGTTTTGGAGGAGGGGGAGGCTGAGGCAATTCTATTTAATTGGTTACATTTTTCAGTTCTATAAATTAATTTGCACTACCCAATATCACTTAATTTTTCCCTAGGAAAGCTTTTGCTTGCCCTAGCAATATTATAACTGCTAATTCAATTACACTGAAATTGTTTAATAGAAAATATAATTGCTTATTCATACAGAATACCCATTAAAGAAGTGGAAAAGCGTGAACCTGAGGGTTACTGCATATTAATACTTTGGGAATACAGATGGGAATGTTGTGTGGGGAAGGTGCAGGCTGATCTTTAATTGTTCATCACCTGCCTGCAAAATAATATGAATGGACCCAAACTAAATGACCACTCATTACAGGTTTCAATTTAGGAGCCTGGCTGGGGTCAGCAGATTGCTTATGCTGATCCCAATGATTTGAAGTTGTGATTACCATAAGCAATTTAAATTTTATTGATCGCCCCTTCTGAAAGTTGTAATTGAGCATAGATATTGGGCCCAGAGCTCTCCAAACTAAATTGTACTCTGAAGCCCTTGCTGGGTTCCTGCAAGAATCAATAAGCAGTCAGTCACATTAACAATGAAATAGGTCCATTAACATGCAGTGGTACTGGCGCAACTTTATTTAGGAAGGGTGTTAGTTCACGTCATTGTTTTATCAATGGATCTTGCCTGTACAAGGAAAAGTATGGCTTTAATATGTGAAATAAGCTTGTATGAAAATGAGATTATATAATATAAATAGACGGAATGTGACTAGGTAGGTAGCTGAGTCCTTAGAGTGTCATTGTGATTCATGGCATCGCCTTACTGTAAACAGAGGTTTTATATGACTGGAATTCTAGCTCGCCTGCTGCAGTGCTTTGCAGTAATTTGGAATTTTTATTCCTCTTTATTAGATACAAGGATTCCCTCCATCAAGGTTAAGTACATCTTGAAGGCTCCATGTTCAGTGGCAAGTGGTGGCTTGTTAGGAGAACTATATAACCTACCCTACTGAGTCACCAGATAAAACTGAGACTTCCAACAGAATCTAAACTATTTCAAGCAACTGAGAGTGGTATTTACAGGCAGAAGACCCTAAGCTCTGTGCACAATACTGGCTTATCTATTGTTATCAGATCATAAAACTCTAACAACTCTAGGAGTCTGTTAGGACTCCATGCAAATAGGGTACTAGGGGTAAGATCTAAAAATCTGAAGAAAGAATGAAGCATTGAATCTATTTCCTTCTAAAATTAATTAATCATCAACTTCATCTCTACTTTCTCATCAAATGAGGTGCAGTCAACTTGAGGACTCCCAACCTCTAGGAAATGGTGAAACTCAAGGATTACATAGATAAACAATATCATCTAAACCATTCCCTATCATCATGTGAGATCTGGGGTACTCAGACAACCTAGTGCAGGGGTTCTCACTAGGCACAATGTAGTACAGCAGAAAGAGGGTGGGAACAAAAACTTGGCTGGCCAATTTGTATTGCCTGATTACTATTGACCAACACCACTCTCCTCTCCCTTTGGATAAACATAGCTGCAGCTGACTGTTTCCTCAGAGAGCTCATGGCCACAGACTCTGTAGTCCTTTATTAGTTAAGAACTCATTAAAAATATAGCAAGTAGTCAAGCTTTGTTTTTAAATATCTCCCCACCTCCCTCCCTTCTCTCTCTCTTTTTCTTTCCTTCCTCCCTCCCTCGTTCCCTGCCTCCTTTCCAGAGTTTCATGTAGTCCAGGCTGGCTTTAAAGTCTTTACGTAACTGAAGATGACACTGACTCCTTATCCCTTGCTTCTACCTCTCAAGTATTAGGTTTGCAAATGTGTGTTATCACACTTTGCTTATGAGTACAGGGGTTTGAACCCAGGGCCTAATGCATACTACACAAGCATCCTACCAACTAAATTGCACAAACATGCAGAGTACAACTGAGACAATTTTTAGTGCTTATTAAAGCAGCCAGGCAAAAATATTCTCTTTTACTTTATGTGAGCACTTTTGGGTTTTAAGCCAGTTGGTCTTTTTTAATCCAGTTGCTTGAACCATCACATCTAAAGTGTGAGTTTAACATGTATATTTGAAGAATGAGAGATGGCTCAGTGGATAAATTGCTTGCTGTGCAAGTTGGAATCCTTGTATCACACACACATGCACATATATATATATATATATATATATATATATATATGTATATATATTCATATATGTGTGTCCGTATATCTATGTTTACAGACATTTACACACTATATCTCTATCTATCTATCTATCTATCTATCTGTCTGTCTGTCTGTCTGTCTGTCTGTCTGTCTATCTATCTATCTATCTATCTATCTAGAGAGTGTGTGGTGTGAACAAAGCCAGGTTGTCACATGCACCGGTAACCCCAGAGTTGGGGGTGGGTATTAAAAAGAAGATCCAGGAACCTCACTGGACAATTATCTCAGTCAAAGTGGTGACCTTCAGGTTCAGCAAAAGACACTGCCTCAAGGGAATAAGAAAATAAAAGTGGTCAAGGAAGACACTGATGTCCTCTTCTGTCCTATGTGGGAGCAGCTTTGGTGCATGTAGTGTGCATATGAATCCCCCCCACACACATGTGAACACGTAAGTACACACACTGCTCATACCAGTACACACAAAGGAAAATAAAATGTGTATTTAAATATATTTCTTTATGAATTGTAGTGTAACTCACATTGTACCAGATATATTCATCATAAAATGAAACCAGACTGTTTCTTTCCCTACACATCTAGAGATTCTGAACACAAGCTTAATACTAAGAAATCAGGTTATTTTAACCTTAGAAAGTGCCACCTATTCTATCTTTAAGAACTTCTAACATGTTGCTTATGTATAACACTGTACACCATATTCATTCACCTTGGAAAATTGTCCTTGTGTTTAAAATACTGCTTTGTACTTATTTGTTTTCTTCAAGAATCTTTATTGGGCTTCCACTAGGCAAAAAGTATCATTTCAAGTGCTCAGCAACCTTCTGCATTCATTTATTAATAATTCCCGAACAGAATGTCTGCTTCTAACATTAGCTTCTGAAATAGAATAGAATCTTAATTAGCTGGAGAGAAACTCCTACTTAAGTAGTCTTAGAGAAAATGCACTCATTTCCCCTCTGATAGATCCTCACAGTGTTGGACTCTGATGAGAATGGTCTTTTCAAAGAGGCCTCAGGTGTGATACCAACTGTTCATGCTCATTGTCAGCTGCTGGTTTCTAGAATATTAATTCAAAATTAGTGAAAATATAGGACTATGTCTACATTGGCCAACTCTGTTGCAAAATTGAGCAATTTTCATTTAAAGGTGCAGCATCCTCTCCACTGCCCTTGAGGGAGATTCAGAGGCTCATTTCGTTTCCATCTGTTTCCACCATTAGAGGATGCATTTGATTGATTCAACTGTAGCTTAACCAAAAGGTGAACACAGACATATTTATCTTACAATGAATACAAATAAGCATGTTTTTCCAATCATATCTAAACACACATGTATGTATTTAAATATAATTTCTTAAAGATCAAATTATGTTTTTGTTCAACGGCTGGAAGGTAGGAATGAATGCATTTGGTGTTGGGGTCGAAGGACAATAGTAGAATAAGGCAAAGACAAATAGTGGGTGCTACTCCTCTATGTATGTATGTGTCAGGAAAAGTCCTGAATGCTAATGGCTCATATCTTCCCCAGTGCTCACTGAGGACCTATGATATATTATGCTATTAAGGTCATGATTAATATAATCATGGCAGTCTTCAATGCACACAATGTATTTCCCTACAGACACCAAGTCCATCCACCTTTTGATAAAACATTGATGTACATATGTGAATTCTCTGATGGGGCCCAACACACTGCTACACAGTAAATATTCAATAATGTTTCCTTCCGGCAATTAGTTAGGCACATGACTTTATGAAGTGTTTATAGATAACTAAGTTGTGTCTGGCAAATGACCCTTATCTATTTACTTTCTTTCTTGTAGAAATATATCCCCACCTACACCTTCCAGTTTCAACATGGCCCACAGCTGTCTAGCTAGGGATGCCTTTGTCAGCCTCGATAGTCAGTGGATAACATGTTCAGTGTCTAGTTCATAGCACAAATCCTAATTGGTCTTATAATAAGAACTTAGAGCCAGATATTGAGGTAAATGCTGAAAGATCAGAGGAAACAAAGGAACAAGCCATAGCCACCTCTCATCTCACCAACTCCTCAGCCTAAAGGACACTGAACTCCTGTCTCCTCCTGCCTTATATTCCTTTCTCTGCCCAGCCATATCATTTCCTGTCTCAATCTTCCCAGGGCTGGGATTAAAGGCATGTGACTCCCAAGTACTGGGATTAAAGATGTGAGCCATCATCACCTGGCTCTGTAGCTGGAGTTTTCTCCAGTCCCATCTGGCCTGCAGCTACTCAGCCCCAAATAAACACACAGATGCTTATATTATTTAAACTGTTTGGCCTAATGGCTCAGGCTTCTTGCTATCTAGTTCTTACATCTTAAATTAACCCATTTCTATAAATCAATACCTTGCCAAGTGGCTCATGGTTTACCAGTATCTTTATATGTTGCTTCTCATGGTGGCAGCTGTCAGTGTCTCCTGACTCAGCCTTCCACTGCCCAGAATTCTCCTCTCTGTTTGTCCCATCTATTCTATACTTCCTGCCTGGTTACTGGCCAATCAGCATTTTATGTAACAATCAATCAGAGCAACACATTCACAGCATACAGAAAGACATCCCCAGCACTTCCTCTTTTCTTTTTTTCAAAAAGGAAAGTTTTCACTTTAACATAGTAAAATTACATATAACAAAACAATTATCAAGCAAAAATTATAATTATATTATCTAGTCTATTTGTATTTGGCAAAATTAAAGAAGATATCCTATCTATCCTATATTTGTGAGTCTAAGGTTTTATATTTATCTTATCTTTTATCATAACAAGGAAATTATAACTATCTAATCTAGTCTTCAACTACATCAAAGACCTCAGAAGGATATAATATTACCTGAGAAGTGGGAGAAGGATACAAGCAACTTTTGGGAGTCTTGTGAGAGTAGACAGAGGCAGCTGGCTGCCTGAACAGTCATCCAAAGTTCTTCTATAAGTTGGGGCATCTGTCTTCAGCCTACAAGTCTAGAATCTCTCAGTCACTTCTCTGTGTCCTGTAGAATGTCTGGCAGTTTCTTCTGCGAAGCAGGAACCTGAAGGACCATTTTGCCAAGCAAAGTTCAGTGGTCACCTTCCTATGGGTCCTGTATGATCAAGCAGTCCAGGCAAGAACAGCTTCTTGCCCAAATGGCTATTTTTGCCAAGAAGAAGATAAACTCCAAGTGTCTTCAATGTCCATCTTCCTCTCTGTAGTCAATTGGTGCTGCCAGGAGCAGACATGTCTCACTGTCCAGAAAGTCTAAATTTTTAAAACATTTTAAATGCCATATTCTGTAGGTCTTTGAAGTGTTTGAAGATTACATACCTGATTGAGTTATATCTATGTATACCTAGAAAACTTAACTAACATGACTGCAAGTTTGACTATCATAGAAGACTAATTATTAATCTGTATTTCTTAATTATCCATTACAATTTAAATGAGTTGCAAAAACATAATACCTCCAATGAGAGTAGAAATATATATATACAGTATAACAAGATTAAGTTTAAACTTGTATCAATAAACTAAAATCAATAGCAATGTAAAACATTTCTAAACAAATTGTTGTTCTTTAAAATAGGTTCATTAGTCTACCCTTTCATCCTACCACATCTACACTATCCCCTCTTTTTCTTTAGAAAGAGATTGAATTTATAATCAACCTGTTTTAAATAAAAAATATTGTTTTTTTTCTGTCCCACACAACAGGGCTCTTCTGATGTAGGACAGAAGGATCTCTCAACCTTTTTTCTTTTTAAGCAAATACACTTGGGTTTAGAGAAAGAGTGAGCCAATTCCATCTCCAAAGCCAGCTTGATATATTTGGGAATTTGGCCATAGCTTCTCTTACTACTTCCTGCTAGATGAGGGTTGCTGTATTCTTATGGGGACATAAAGAAAATTTTAGGATTATGGATTAGTCCGAGAGGGTGTATTTTCTGAGCCAGATGCCTTGGAACAGTTCTGGATGTTGGATCATCTGGGCCATGGTGTCATCCTTTCAGGGGTTCTTAGCTGATCAAACCTGATATATCTTAATCTGGAACAAATCCATAGCCTCTTGCTTTCTGTGGAAACAAAAGCAGAGCCTCCTTTCCAAAGCAACATATCCTTAGATCCAAATTTTGAAGTCAAGATACCTTTAAAATATACATATTTGTTTAACTGAACAGCCTTTACAATCAAATGTCTTTCTGCAATTAAAAATTCCAAAGACAACACAATCCAGATTCTCTGTGTGATATCCACCTTTATGTGACTTATTTTTTATATTAATTTTATTTTCTCTTTAAAGACTTTATTTTTTAAAACTATTTCTTAATATAACTGTATATATTTCTTTTTGTCTCTCTTGCAAGCTTACATACACTTTTACACACATTGTAAACTATCCCATCTGAATCTGTCTTATTGTGAATCTATTGTTTTAAACTGCAGCAGCTAGTACTGAAGCACAAGTCTTGGCTGTTAGCTCCACCCAATTTTGCTTCCTAACATGATGGTGGTACATTTACTGCCAGCTCCAGGAACCACGTTCCCACAGACTCTGGGAAGCAGAGGGTCTATGCTTCCATCCAGCAGCATGTAGCCCAAAAACTTCTTTTTTTTTTCTGTATTAGCAAAGGCTAAATCCACCATGCAGCAGCAGCAACGTAATGTGCAACTTGGAAACGCTTCATTCCCACCATACTGCAGGTCAAATACACACACCAGGAGCCTGCCATATAGTAGCTCAAGCATGCAGGCTGCGGCTTACTTGAGAGAGACCACTAAGCCATTTTAGCTCTGTTTCAGGATCATTTTTTTTAAAGCTTTCTCAGGTTTTAGGTGGAAATTCTGGCCCCACGTTCTGGCGCCATTTGTAGCTGGAAAGTTTCTCTCTAGGTTCCGCCAAGCCCCCATAATCCTGCAGCCCACTTATAAAATAATCACTCAGAAGCTTATATTACTTAGAAACTATGGCCATGGCAGGCTTCTTTCTTTCTAATTCTTACATTTTAAATTAACCCATTTCTATAAATCCATACCTTGCCAAGTGGCTCATGGCTTACCAATATCTTTATATGTTGCTGCTCATGGTGGCATCTGGCAGTGTCTTCTGACTCAGGCTTCCACTTCCCAGAATTCTCCTCTCTGCTTGTTTCGCCTATTCTATACTTCCTGCCTGGCTACTGGCCAATCAGCATTTTATTTATCTATCAATCAATCAGAGCAACACATTCACAGCATACGGAAAGATATCCCCAGCATGACTCTTTTAGACTGTATTAATCTCGTGGAGACCAGGGTGACCTTGAACTTACAGAGATGGGTCTGCCTCTGCCTCTACCTCCTGAGTGCTGGGATTAAAGGTGTGTGCCATCCCTGCCTGGCCTCTATGGCTGACTCTGGCTGGCTCTGCCCTCTGATCTTCAGACAAGCTTTATTTATTAGAGCATACACAAAATATCACCATACTAGATCATTTCTTTAATGATGACACTGACTTCTCAGGGAAGGTGGCAAGCCAATGTCCCTCATGGCCAGTAAGGAATACCTAGATCAGAGGTTCTCACCCTTTCTAATGTTGTGACCCTTTAATACAGTTTCTCGTGTTGTGATGACCCCCAACCATAAAATTATTTCATTGCTATTTCGTAACTCTAATTTTGCTACTGTTATGAATCGTAATGCAAATATCGGATAAGCTGGATATTTGATATGTAACCCCTGTGGGGGCCATGACCCACAGGTTAAGAACCACTTGCCTAGAGGGTTGTAACATCATGGGGCAGAGGGAATCTAGAATGAAGAGTTCTTTTTTTGTCCTTCACTTCCCATCTGACTCTGCATTATTGAATGAGAGATAAGGAGAGTTTTACTTGTTTAGAGAAGTATTTCACTTGAGTCATTATATTTTAAGGGTAATGCTGTTAATGCAGTTTATCCAATACTAAAACTCACCTAGCACATGTACCACGCCTTTCTATAGATGCACTTCTGGAATTCTTAAGCCTCTGGTAGAACTGTGAGAATCTGGGAAGCAGCTGGGCCTCATGGGGGTGGGGAGGCATCTGTGACTCCTTAAGATTCTTCTGCTGAGGATGCCTGCTCTTGAGGAAAATGTGGAGTTCGGTGAATCTTGGCTTCATCCTGAGACAGGTGCCTGTGTGCTGAGGCAGTCAGTCAGCACTGTGTGGACTGTCAGATCAAATCCATTTTTTCTGGATGCAGAATCTGGACATTAAATAGACTAGACAGGCATTTTTTAAGGTTTAGAAAGAACCCAAAGTGAAACTGGAGTATCTTGATAAATTAAAAGATTTGTTTTTATAAGCACATTTATGTCTTCACAGAGAAAAAAGAAAACCTTAAAAACAAACTGAAAAAAGTGTTTCATACTTTTGTTTACACAAATATGGTGTTTCTACAGAGACTAGAAAGGCAACTCTAACTAAGATCCAATGGAGGTCCTTGAATGGGTTTTTCAGCCTACAGAAGTTCAAGAATATTGCACATAACCTAGTCCTACAGCTATAATTGCAGTAAGTGTCCCTCTGATTGTCTAATCTAAATGGCACATTTTCATAACTGGTTATTGTCACATTGTTACAGTACGAAAGTAAATGCTTGGAGGAAATTTCTGAGTACAGACTGCCAAGTCATTGTTGGTTATTTGGGTTGTTCTCCACTGGGAATTTCAGAAAGATTTGCTAAAATTTTTTCCTGTGTCTTAGTTAAAAAAAAATGGAATTAGTTCCTGATCAGCAGTAATGTATTTACAGAAATGAAAAACCACACCACAATAAGGTTGAGTTTGCTTGTTTTGAACAATAAATGGAGATGCTATGGCAATAAAATATTTTTGAACAAGATGGCTTAGGAGGCTTAAATAGCTTTCTCAATGATAATTTTATAAAATTGTTTTCAGTAAATAGGGATGTCCATGGAAGATTTTTTTATTTGGGAAAGATTTTTTGTTATTTGTGTTGATTGTAAACATAATGGTTTTGAGTGGGCAGCTTCTCTGAATTTACACTGGTATAGTAACAATTAACAATGTGTACACACTTCATCTGTTACTCAGTTGTAAAGAGCTAACTGAATCATTACACTGAAATATATTCCTTTGAAATTTTTTGGTGGTTGCTTCTAGAAAAAAAATTGTCAAAGGCCATTTTAAAAACAAATTACCCCCAAAATGAATATCTAAAAAAAAAATCTAGCATGAACTCAAAAGAAAAAAGTCTTATGTAATAAATATTCTTCCAAATTAGAATTGATAAGTAAGAGCCCCTGTTTAAGTATTTAAGCAGCTAGCCAGAGCATTTTAACCCCAAGCTTCAAGAACAGAGTTGGATACTTTCCTGTTGGATCTTATACTTCAGGGATAGATGAGGGGGAGGGTCAATTTCAGGTCAGACCAAAGATGAGTCCAACTGAGACAAGCCGGAGCAACTTATGCCTCATCACTGACCAAAGTCTAAGTTATCATGAAAAACACACTCTGTAGGCAGAACCAAACAGTGTTTTTTGTTGTTGTTGTTTTGTTTTTTTACTCAGTTTTCATAATTCTCTGGTGCTTAAACAGTGTCTTAGTTAGGGTTTCTATTGCTGTGAGACACCATGACGATGTCAACTCTTACAAAGAAAACATTTAATTGAGGTGGCAGCTTATAGTTTCAGAGGTTTAGTCCATTATCATCATGATGGGAAGCAGGCAGATGTTGCACTGGCTATTTCTTGACTAGAAGGCAGCAGGAAGTCCACTGCCTGTCACACTGAGTGAAGCTTGAGAAAAAGACCTCAAAGTCCACCCCCATTTCCTCCAATAAGACCATACCTACTCCAAAAGGCCACACCTTCTAATATGCCACTCTCTTTGGGGGCCATTTTCTTTCAAACCACCAAAACAGTTTCATTATTTGATAGCACCTCATTAGAAAAAGAATGAAATAAAAAGAAAGCAATTTCTTTCAATACAATTTCCTTTAATTTCACAAACATGTATATCACAGTTGTTTTGTTAAAACTGATCCATAAAATATATAATTATATTTATGAGGTATAATGTGATGTTGCTATATGAATATATTAATGTTTTATTCTTTAACTTTTGCTTTAAAAAGAATATGACAGTTCTACCTTGATATGCAGTTGGGTCCAAAAATGTACTTACTTTATTTCTGAGTGTGCCTTCTTGTTAAAATCAATAAAGCTTTCAAAACAAAACAAAAAGAACTCAGCATTTCCCTACCCCTTCAAGACAATTTAGTATTGTCAGAGAATTAGAAAACAATTTTGAAAATCCAGAAGCAGCCAGACCTTCAGATACCTACCCAAATCATTTAAGCTTTTTGAGACCTGAACATTGAGAAGCTCTTGTCCAAAGCAACTGCTCATGTCAATGGTGGTACCTGTGAAATGACAGTACTAACTAACAGAGATTCATTTTGACCTTCCTACCTCTTTTATGGTTGTGAAGGAGATAAGAAAAAAATGCTCTAAGCCAGGTAAGAAGTTGGCTAAAAGCATACACAAATTTTGTGTACATCTAATTCCATGGGACTGGAGGAGTAATCTTCAAGAAAGATGCATATAATTTATGTAATCACAGAAGAAAGTCATTTATATTTGCTTAGTGAGATGGAAGGTATCAAACAAGAGAAGGGCAAGGGGAAGACACAAACGGTTGGCACAACACCCAGATTTCTTGGACTATGGTACTGGGGAGAGAAGGGTGGCACTCACCCCTATGTGTGCATGTGAGCACTTGTATGTGAACATGCCCATCTGTGTACAGGTGCAACTGTACTGTGTGGACATGTGCTTGATAAATGTCCTATTCACTTTGTAACTTCAACCAGACCAGGAGATGAATCTGTTGCTCTGATATATTTCCACGACACTGGTGAGTTGTCAAGAAGAGTAAGAATTTTTAGACTGACATTCCACCCAAACCATTCATCATCCCACGTAAAATTATTCCACTATCATGAATAGAAAATTAGTACATAAATGTAGGTAGTGTCAGAGTTCCTTCTGAACTGGAAATATTATTCAGACTTTGGGTTTTTTTTTTGTTTGTTTATTTGTTTTTTCAAGATAGGGTTTCTCTGTGTGGCTTTGCACTTTTCCTGGAACTCAATCTGTAGCCTGGGCTGGCCTTGAACTCACAGAGATCAGCCTGCCTCTGCCTCCTGAGTGCTGGGATTAAAGGTGTGTGCCACCACCGCATTTTGAAGTATAAGCTAAAACTCAAGGGCATGGCTTTGTTGGACTGTGTGGCCTGCATTCCCCTATATTCTCATAACTAAAACTAAGACTGTTGGGAACAGTCAAAATAACATTTGGTTCTTACGAAGCTGATCAGCCAACCTGTTAATAAAGATTGCAGTCCAAGGATCAACAGGAATAATGGCCTACCATCCCTGGACCATCTCCTCTTCCATCAGCCTAGGAAAGGTGACAGTAACTCACTCATTCTTGATCATATCTGATTGCCCCTACTCCCTTTCGCATAAACCAAAAGCCACTATCCTCTCTGATGATGAGACACAGTTAGACTTAAAGATACCCAGAAAAAGCTTGGGGTCTTGCCCTTTGTCAGAAGACTATCTCCTAACTGAAAGTCCTCCTCCAAATCAGAAAATACAGCTGGACTATCTCTCAGATTTCCAACAAAGATACTCAAAGGTGTGGGAGGAACCAAACTTCTAGGAGGTCCTATAATTATTCAACTAACAGTTCAGCCATCCTGTCCAGATTAAACCATACCCAATCAATACTCAATGATACTGGAAGCAAAGTGGGGAATTACAGTTCATATTGTCCAGCTTAGAGAGATGGGCATCCTGGTGTCCTGCCGTTCATCCTGGAATATACCTTTCCTGCTTGTGAAACCTTGGTATCTCCAGTTATAGATCCATCCAAGATCTAGGGGAAGTGAATTAAGAGGGTTGATACTATCCACCCCATGTTTCCATACAATACACACTAATGAGCCCAATTCCTTTGGGGAAACAGGTGTACACTTTTGTGGACCTGAAAGATGCATTAGTCAGCCTCCCCTTGGCAGAGGTGAGTCAGCTCATCTTTGTTTTTAAATGGACAGACCTGGGGGAGGTTACAGCTGGCAACTTACCTGGACCAGGCTGCCCCAAGGATTTAAAAATTTGCCAACACTGTTTGCGAAGACACTAACTGCTGACCTGCTCATCTGTCAGGTTTTCCAGGACCATATTCTTGCAATATGTCGTCAACCTCCTCCTAGCCTCTAAAACTGAAAGAGATTGTATAAGTGACACTGGGGGACTGCTATAAGAGTTACAGACCTTTAGCTACAGGGTGTCAGCTAAGACCAACTTTGTACATTATAGGCAGCAGGTCCTATCTGAGTAGACTTGCTGCCGTCTTTTTGCTCCCAACTCCAAAGACTGAGAGACAGGTTTGAGAGTTCCTAGGTGCAGTTGTGTATTACTACTACCTCTGAATACTAGTGTTTGCATGAATAACAAGGCCTCCATATGCCAGCACAAGGGAGGGCACCAGGCCTCTAATCTGGGCTGAGATTGAACAAAAGGCATTTGAGGCTGTAAAAACATCTCTGGCATCAGCGCCAGCCCTAGCACTTCCAGACGTCTCAAAACATTTTCATCTGTCCACGAAACAAAAGGAACTGCAAAACGGGTTTTGACCCAAACTGTGGGTCCATGGAAATGACCTGTGGCATACCTGTCCAAACAGTTTGACCCTGTAGTCACAAGATGGCCCATATGTATAAGAGCTGTGGTGGCCTCTGCTATTCTAGTAAAAGAAGCAGGCAAGTTAACCCTGAGTCAGGATCGTAGACTCATAGTACGTCACACACTTGAGGCCCTCTTCTGAGGGACACCAGAATGCTGGCTGTGTAACGCCTGTGTGATCCAGTCCCAGGTCCTATTCCTGGACCACCCTCAAGTCCAGATTGAGAAAACCCCCACCAACAATTCTGCCACCCTCTTGCTTGATGAGGACCTGCAGGTGCTCATCCATGACTGTCACTCAGTGACCACAGTGATCCAGGAGATCTCCCCAGACCTAACAAACATCCCCCTGAAAGATGGCAGTGCAGTGTTCTACATGAATGGGAGCAGCTTTATTAAAGATGTAACCAGGTATATGGTGGGTTTAAAGTATTTACTTTAATAGAAACTATTTGGTCCCAAGCCTTAGGGCCAGGTATCTCAGCCCAGAGAATAGAACTAATCATTCTGATTCAGACTCTCAGATGGGGAAAAGGAAAGTCCATCATCATGTACATAGTCACTATGCTTTTGCTATATTGTGCAAGTCCACAGTATGATCTATAGACAAAGAGGGCTTCTTACTGCTAGGGAGAGGACATTAAAAACAAAGTGTCTTTTGTGGTGATATTTTATTTGTGCACCCCAATAAAGCTTATCTGGGGATCAGAGGAAAAAATCAGCCACTATATTAAACATAGAGCCAGGCAGTGGTAGCACACGCCTTTAATCCTAGCATTCAGGAGGCAGAGATCCATCTGGAACTCTGTGATTTCAAGGCCACACTAGGAACAGAGCCAGGCATGGTAGCACATGCCCTTAATCCCAGTGGTAGTTAACCATAGAGGTCTGGAGGTCTTTACAGACAGACGAGAAGTGATAGAGCTGGGAGGAAAGAGGAGGTGATGAAGCTGGGTGGAGAAAGAAAGTAAGATGACAGAGCACAAAGGCATATAAGGCATGAGTATATAGGAAGTAGCTCTCTCTGGAGGCTGAGGAGTTGCTAAGGTGAGGTTGGCTGTGGCTTGTCCTATTCCTCTGATTCTCAGTTTTCACCCCAATATCTGGCTCCATATTTCTTATTAATAAGACCATTTAGCAATTTGTGTTATAGGTCTTCTATGGTAGTTTGAATGTAATTGGCCCCCAGAAGCTCATAGGGAGTGGCACTGTTTGGAGGTGTAGCTTTGTTAGAGTAGGTATGGACTTGTTGGAGGAAATGTGTCACTGTGGGGACAAACTTTGACATCTCCTATGCTCAAGCTATGCCCAGTGTCTCAGTTCACTTCCTGTCATCTGTGAGCTAAGATGCAAGACTCTCAACTCCTTCTCCAGCATCATGTCTGCCTATACGCCACCATGCCCCACCATGATGATAATGGACTAAACCTCTGAAACTATAAGCCACACACTTAGATGCTCTCCTTTATAAGAGTTGTCATGGTCATGGTGTCTCTTCACAGTAATAGAAAACCTAAATAAGAGGGAAGTTGGTACTAGGAGTGGGGTATTTATGTGATAGGCCTGACCATACTTTTGTTTGAAGGAATATGGACCATGGGATTGTGGATTAGAAGAGCAGTTGAAAGCTTTAAGTGCTGCTTAATGGGACATATTAGTAGAAACATGGAAGAAGTGGTGCTGAGTATGATCTGATGAACTGTGGGGTCCTGGTTCAAAAGGTTTCAGAGAAGAATTTTAATATGTTGTAGAAATTGCTCTTGTGATATTTTGATAAAGAATGTGATTGCTTTTTGCCTTTGTCTGAAAAGTTTGCCTGAGGCTAAAGTGAAGAGTTTTGGATTAATTTTGTTGCAGAGGAAATTTCAAAAGTCTAATATTGACTCTGTCGTGTGGTTATTAGTGTTGACTCTAATGAAGACTTACAATGAAAAGGAGCAAGCTGAGAAAGGAAAAATACAAAATATAAAATTTGAGGTAAAAGGAATCTCAAGAAGTGGAATGGAGCTAAGTCCTATGTTCAAGGAGATAAACAGATTAAGAAAAGGAATAAAGAGTGTGGTGACCTCAGGGCAAGATCCCACCCAGCTAAGTTTCCAACTTGTGAAAAAGAATTAAGGAAAAGCTTAGAACTGGATGTGGTACTGCACACCTTTAATCCCAGCACTGGGAAGGCAGAGACTGGCACATCTCTGAGTTTGAGGTCAGCCTGGTCTACAGATCCAGTTTCAAGACAGTCCAACTGAGGCAGTGAAGGAAACCATTGAAAACCATGGTGAAGATGTAATTGAATGAAGGGGCCATGTTCTATTCCAGCAAGCAGCAGAACTTGGCAATTTCAGTCACATGGTTCTGGCTTTAAGGATAGAAGAAAGGGGTTATGTTATATTCCTCCATGACTAAGGAAAGCCACTGAGGCCAGACATGTGTCAGGAGTACTCCTAAATGGAGGCCTAAAGAGGTCATTGTGTGAAGCCGTGAAGCTGAAGCCTGGATTGCCTTAGAGACCCCAAGATTTTGGAGATGCCAGAGCTGTGGAGTACCTGATAAGGAAAGCTGCTAACAGGGAGTGGAACAAGCCCAAGAGAGAGAAGTGTATTATGAGTTGGAGATCTGAAGAGTGTTTTGATATCAGACATGAAAATGCAGAGTTTGGAGTTCACCCACCTGGTTTTGGGTCTTGCTTTGGTCCAGTATTTCCTTACTGTGCTCCCTTCTCTATGATTTGGAATGGTAATGTATATCCTGTGCCATTATATGTTGGCAGTATGTGATCTGTCTTTTGATTTTGATTTTACAGGGGATTACAGTTAAGAGATTGCATGGATCCAAAAGAGACTTTGAATTTTGGACTTTAAAACACTGGTGAGACTGTGATAGACTATAGGGACATTTGAAGTTGAACTAAATGTATTTTGCATTGTATTATTGTTACAAGCTTATGTGAGCCAGGGAGTGTAATGTGGTACTTTGAATGTAATTGGCCCCCATAAGATTATAGGGAAGGGCACTATTAGGAGGTGTGACTTTGTCGGAGTAAGTATGGCCTTGTTGGAGGAAGTATGTCACTGTGGGGCCAGGCTTTGAGGTTTCCTATGCTTAAACTATGCCCAGTGTCTTAGTTTACTTTCTGTTGCCTACAAGCTAAGATGTAGGACTCTTAGCTCCTCCAGCATCATGTCTGCCTGCATGCTGCCATATCCTACTATGATGATAATGGATTAAACCTCTGAAGCTGTAAGCCACCACTTAAATGTTTTCCTTTATAAGAGTTGTCATGGTCATGGTGTCTCTTCACAGTAGTAGAAACCTTAACTAAGTTACCGTCCTTAAGCTATTTGGCTTTCTCTATGAGTTGCTGTCCTCCACTGCTGAGGACATCAAAAAGATGACACTCCTGAGGCTTCTGACCTGGCTCCTAACAAATGGCCCTAAAACCAGTGGGGCCTGTTGATACTCTGTTGACAAATACTGACCCAGTGTTACCTGAGATGCCATAGTTCAACCAAGAGGAAATAAACAAACAAGCAGCTAGAACCTGAGGGCTGGTAAAGAACACCAAAGGGAAACATCATTCTCCCAGAAACAGTAGGCAGGACTCTGATAACTGACCTTTACAGGCTTCTCATCTGGGTTCCAGAAAACTTGTGAGCTGCTGAGACTAAGATATGTTATGCATAGATTGGACAGCCTGGCATGAGATGTCTCAGTCCGATGCCAGGTTTGTACTCAAGTAAATCCAAAACAGAGAGTTCTTACCCAGGAAGGGGACAAAATAAGAGGACAAAACCCTGGCAAACTCTGGGAAACTGGCTTCACCAAGACCTAACCTGCCAGAGAAGGATGTAAGTACTTGAAAATTTTATATATATAATTTCTTTTATTATATATAAAAATAAAAAAGAATATATATTATATATAAATATAAATATATATATATATTTATTTATTTTCCAGGTGGGTAGAAATATTCACCACCTAGACTGAAACTGTTCAAATAGTAGCTAAAAATCTTCTCTAGGAAGTGGTCATCCAATTTGGTCACCTCTTAGCAGTGGGGTCAAAAATGTGCTGACTTTTATAGCTAATACCTCTCAACTAATAGATAACCTCTTTAGGTACAGATTGGAAACTTCGTTATCCACACAACTTCAGAGTTCTGGGTGGATAGAAATAATGAACAGGATGTTAAAAAAAATACCCTAACAGACTCTCATTAGAGTCCAACAAAGGGTGGATAGACCTCCTTCCTTTGTTTTGGCCCACTGTGCTCCATATAGGGAAGGATTTACCCCTATGAGATTATGTTTGAAAGACCTCCCTGACTGCTTCCCTGGTTCAGAGACCAGCAGTTGACAGAACTCTCTAACCATTCCTTTCTCAGGTCACTAGAGGCCCTCCAGTTCTCCATACAGGCTACTCATTGGACTGTCTGAGAGACCCAGCTAACCTCTGAGTTTACCACCAGTGTCCCCTTGTTCAAGCTTGGTGATACTGTCTGAGACAAGTAGGTAGCCAAAGGGCACTAGAACCAACTACGAAAGGACCCTACAGGATGATTCCTCTCCATTCCTAGGACTATGAAGGTAGCTGGAATTATTCCATGTATCTACTACACCCAGGTCAAGAAAGTGGAAGCCACTGACACTGTACCCAATTGGACTCTCTCCTGGACTATGGACTAATTAAAATTAATGTTACATTAGGCCCCAAACCCTTATACTCCTTACCCCTCTACCTTCTCCTGAGTCTTCTGTTTTGCCCCATGGTTATGAGTACATGGTCCACGCCCCATCATCCTCAGGCCTGCACCTGGAACTGAAGAAGACAGGTACAGGGGAGGTGTTAGCTGGAGTGACTTCAGACCAACAACCCATATTCCACGTTTACCTTTGCTCACTGATGCCCTCTTTAACTGTCTGTTTATACTGAAGAAAGTAAAGATGTGTGAGTTTACCTTTTGAGATAGGAATACAGAGTCTGCAACTGTATGCAAGCCCTGTGGCTGAGCCCCCTAGCTGACAAGAACAAGGGAGTTTCCATTGTAAAATATGGGTTTGTGAAACAGAGGCTACCTGGAAACACATGGATGAATATAAAGATTCTCTCAAGGGATTCACAATAGAGAAATGGAATTCACAATAGAGAAATTAAAGGTCTAAAAATTCCTTAAGAAGTATTCTGATCTTTGGGAAACAGGGAGTACCTGGAGAATCACACTCTATGCCACAGTAAGGGATGCTGAGGATAGATTTACTATCCAGAGGAAACTGCCCACCCCTCCCCAGATCCCTAAACCTGAGCCCTGACCAACTCTCCCCTCTAAAGGAACTACCTTACTTAACACACCAGGGCAAGAGTCCCACCTCCCACTCTTCCGGAAGCTGGGGAATCCTCATTCCTATTTTCCACTCTTGACAAGGCCCACCATATTGTTAAACATTCCTAGCCAGAAATTGACCAGGATTTCTGGTTAGGCTTAGAACCCTGGCCCCTGTACTACATAGGGGTAGGAACTAATCAGACAGTCAGCTCACTGACTGACTAAACTCATTGTGACTGGAGGAAGCCCAAATTAACATTAGAGGACCTACAAAGGCTAAAACCTACTTAATATCCAAAATCTTTAATCTAGGTGCTTCCCCTCATTCTAATGCCTGATAGTCTGCCTTGCAGCATTATCCATCTGGACAACAGCAGTATTACTGAGCTGCTGAGACTATTGGTGGGCATGTACTCATGGTGTAACTAAATGGGCCTCTTCGGATGCTTTCCAGACTCAGAAACCCCTTTAATACATCGTAGTACACATTCTGCCCCAGACAGATGTATGTAATGGGGAAGAAGGAGAAATACATTTTAATATGGACTCTGGACTACAGAGAAGAAAAAGAGCTGTGTCTGTCCTCGTTGCACTCCTGGTTGGAGCCAGTCCAGCTGGCTCAACAGCCACAGCCACATCATCAGCCTTTATCACGGGAAATTAAGACTTTAAGGAACCAAGTAAACAGGTTGGTCAGAACCTAGAGATTAGAACCTAGGTATTAAAGGTTTCCATTTATGAATTAGAACAATAGTTCCATTCCCTTGTATAGTTGTCCTACAAAATTGTAGAGGCTTAGACTTACTTCTCAACAACAATGAAACACATTGTACTCCCTCTGAAGTCAGAGGTCCTCTTTTTCCTTAGAGTCAAACTTGGAAGGCATCTGGAAAACCTGGCATCAGGACCCTTAACTCATCTTCTGTGGAAGGGAAAACTTCCTCAGAGTGATTGCTTTTTCTGCGGGGCAACCCCTGCCTTTCACGTGTAGCATCTCCACTACTTATTAGCCTTGCTTGACAAAACTTCATCCATAAAGTTACTTGAAATTAAAAAAAATCATTTGACCATGATATTGACTTGAGCTACATCAGGGTTACTATGTTGTTTCTCTAAGGCATTTGCAGCATCTGGGCACCTTTCTTTTATTTCTACTCCTATGGAATTGGTATTGGCACAGAATGGGTAGAGGCCAGAGATGCTGCTAAATATCGTGTAATGCCCTTTACAGTCCACTCATAAGAAGCAATTGTTGGATCCCAACTGCCAGTAGGACTGAGGTTAGGAAACCCAATTGTAGGGCCACATGCATATCACCACAGGCATATGAACATGTGCACGGGCGTGCACGCACACACACACACACACACACACACACACACACACACACACACACACACACATACACACACACACAAGAACAAAACTAAAATCTCTTTACTTTAGAATCCCAGCTGGAAAAGCATAATATTAGAAACCTAGCATGTTGACCACCTGCTCTAAAATGAGTTACAAGGACAGTGTTATGAATTAAGTTGGCCAGTTACAATGATAAGAGCAAAGCCTGTGCTTGCCATACTTCTGTTTAAATGTCCCTTGTAAAGAGAATAGGGAGAACACTTTCCATTAGTTTCTGTTTGTTTTCAGTTTCCTATATTTACTGGTGTTTTGCTGTGTGTTATCCCATTATTGATATTGTGGGTGTTATAAATGGTCATTTCTTTGTTACAAATGAGTCTGATCACCATGAATAGCTCAACATCAATCTGTTTGTAGTAGAAATTTTGTCATTTGACTATTTCCAGAGCTACTTTCCTTGATTAGAAGTGTGTGTCTAAACTGAATTTTCTGTGCCACCCTGAGGAAGAGTACAGTTTTCCTTCTATGGGGTCAGGGGTCACATATTAGGCTACTTACTGTTGAAATGTTGGAATTTTAAATACATGGCTTGCTTGCTTGGCAATATCATTGAAAACATTCACTTTTTTTCTCACCCCACTGGTTGTAATTACATTTATTATTATTATTTTTTGAGACAGGGTCTCATATAGCCCAAGCTAGCCTTGAACGTGTTATATAATAGAGGCTAGCCTTAAACCCTGATGCTCTACTTCCCATATGCTGACATTACAGGCATAGAGATGCCTGGTTACCATATTTTTCTATTTAAATATTTTATAAACAATAGCAAGAAGACAAAATGTTACTAAAGTGACCAGACGTGCAAAAAGATCTTTGTAAGCTTTAAATGGAGATGTTGTTTGAATCTTAGATGGTCTTTTAATGAAAAACCCAGAGCCAGATATCAGGGTGAAAGCTGAAAGATCAGAGAAGCAGAACAGTCAGCCACTAGCTCTTACCTCTACAAATCCTTAGCCTAAAGAGAATGAGTTCCTGTTTCCTTATGCTCTATGTACCTTTCTCTTCCCTGTCATATTACTTGGGATTAAAGGCGTGTGTGCTTCCCAAACAAAGGCATGAAATCTCAAGTGCTGGGATAAAGGTGTATGCCACCACAGCCTGGCCTCTATGTCTAATCTAGTGGCTGGCTCTGTCCTCTGATCCTCAGACAACTTTATTAGGGTACACAATATATCACTACATGGAGGCCCTAAGGTGGCTTTCTAACTTTTATTTTCCTGGGGAAGAGGTTACATAATGGCATATCGTCTGTCTTGTTTCTTTTATTTCAGTCTATTTTAAAGATATGATTTAGATATATAACTTAGACTGGCCCAGAACTTCCTATTTAACCAAGGCTGACCCCAAACTCACTATCCCCCTGCTTCAGCTTCCTGACTTCTGGTATTATAGGCATGTGTCATGAAGCCTGTCTGTCTTGTTCATTTTAAACCAGGACTTATATACAGAAGAAGGTTGTCCTTATTTGATTTCATGCAAACTTGCCGAGAAAGGCTCTTGGCTATCAACACGGAAACATTTTCAAAATGACTGTGTACCAGAGCTGAAGACATCACTCCAATATGCTCTTAAATGACTAAGTTTGAGCTTCAGCACAGGCTGGACCAGATGGCTGGGCGATTTTCTATTGCATTTCTCCACTGAACATGCAAAAGCTCATCCAACCTCTCTCTCCCTGTGTCCTTCCCCTGTTGCCATATTTATTTCCTGATCATTCCTGAAAAAGTGGCATGTGATTGTCTTCAGATCATTTTTGAATGAGAGAAGCAGTAATGCTGATAATAAAATCCAAATTCAGAGAAGATATGTACTTGATTCAGCAGCCAGAGTATTTGTGTGTGGTGTTAAAGGTGTACTAAAGATGTATTAATCTTATTTTCCCCTTTCGTTTTACATGAAAGGTGTCATGATTGGGATAAGAATAAAATGAACATAAGTATGATAAATGATAAGTGCCCACAAGAGTCAATACACTACTCTGAGAGAGCATTGCTAATCAACCAGTGCAGCAGGCTAATGCACCATGTGAGCAAGCACCTCTGAGAGATGCTAAATTTGTAACTTGGTGAGCTTGGCATTTAGTTGAAGCTGCTCTAGGCTTAAGG